GTGATGTACTATACTATGCCTTTTTTATGACATATTATACTGTTACTTTTTTATGACGTACTATACGATGACTTTTTGTGACATAGTATACAATGACTTTTTGTGACGTACTATACGATGACTTTTTGTGTCGTACTATTCGCTGACCTTTTTTTGACATACTATACTATGACCTTTTTTTGCCATATTATACTATGACTTTTTATGACATACTATACTATGACTTTTTGTGACGGACTATACAATAACTTTTTGTGATGTACTATACTATGCCTTTTTTATGACATATTATACTGTTACTTTTTTATGACGTACTATACGATGACTTTTTGTGACATAGTATACAATGACTTTTTGTGACGTACTATACGATGACTTTTTGTGTCGTACTATTCGCTGACCTTTTTTTGACATACTATACTATGACCTTTTTTTGCCATATTATACTATGACTTTTTATGACATACTATACTATGACTTTTTGTGACGGACTATACAATAACTTTTTGTGATGTACTATACTATGCCTTTTTTATGACATATTATACTGTTACTTTTTTATGACGTACTATACGATGACTTTTTGTGACATAGTATACAATGACTTTTTGTGACGTACTATACGATGACTTTTTGTGTCGTACTATTCGCTGACCTTTTTTTGACATACTATACTATGACCTTTTTTTGCCATATTATACTATGACTTTTTATGACATACTATACTATGACTTTTTGTGACGGACTATACAATAACTTTTTGTGATGTACTATACTATGCCTTTTTTATGACATATTATACTGTTACTTTTTTATGACGTACTATACGATGACTTTTTGTGACATAGTATACAATGACTTTTTGTGACGTACTATACGATGACTTTTTGTGTCGTACTATTCGCTGACCTTTTTTTGACATACTATACTATGACCTTTTTTTGCCATATTATACTATGACTTTTTATGACATACTATACTATGACTTTTTGTGACGGACTATACAATAACTTTTTGTGATGTACTATACTATGCCTTTTTTATGACATATTATACTGTTACTTTTTTATGACGTACTATACGATGACTTTTTGTGACATAGTATACAATGACTTTTTGTGACGTACTATACGATGACTTTTTGTGTCGTACTATTCGCTGACCTTTTTTTGACATACTATACTATGACCTTTTTTTGCCATATTATACTATGACTTTTTATGACATACTATACTATGACTTTTTGTGACGGACTATACAATAACTTTTTGTGATGTACTATACTATGCCTTTTTTATGACATATTATACTGTTACTTTTTTATGACGTACTATACGATGACTTTTTGTGACATAGTATACAATGACTTTTTGTGACGTACTATACGATGACTTTTTGTGTCGTACTATTCGCTGACCTTTTTTTGACATACTATACTATGACCTTTTTTTGCCATATTATACTATGACTTTTTATGACATACTATACTATGACTTTTTGTGACGGACTATACAATAACTTTTTGTGATGTACTATACTATGCCTTTTTTATGACATATTATACTGTTACTTTTTTATGACGTACTATACGATGACTTTTTGTGACATAGTATACAATGACTTTTTGTGACGTACTATACGATGACTTTTTGTGTCGTACTATTCGCTGACCTTTTTTTGACATACTATACTATGACCTTTTTTTGCCATATTATACTATGACTTTTTATGACATACTATACTATGACTTTTTGTGACGGACTATACAATAACTTTTTGTGATGTACTATACTATGCCTTTTTTATGACATATTATACTGTTACTTTTTTATGACGTACTATACGATGACTTTTTGTGACATAGTATACAATGACTTTTTGTGACGTACTATACGATGACTTTTTGTGTCGTACTATTCGCTGACCTTTTTTTGACATACTATACTATGACCTTTTTTTGCCATATTATACTATGACTTTTTATGACATACTATACTATGACTTTTTGTGACGGACTATACAATAACTTTTTGTGATGTACTATACTATGCCTTTTTTATGACATATTATACTGTTACTTTTTTATGACGTACTATACGATGACTTTTTGTGACATAGTATACAATGACTTTTTGTGACGTACTATACGATGACTTTTTGTGTCGTACTATTCGCTGACCTTTTTTTGACATACTATACTATGACCTTTTTTTGCCATATTATACTATGACTTTTTATGACATACTATACTATGACTTTTTGTGACGGACTATACAATAACTTTTTGTGATGTACTATACTATGCCTTTTTTATGACATATTATACTGTTACTTTTTTATGACGTACTATACGATGACTTTTTGTGACATAGTATACAATGACTTTTTGTGACGTACTATACGATGACTTTTTGTGTCGTACTATTCGCTGACCTTTTTTTGACATACTATACTATGACCTTTTTTTGCCATATTATACTATGACTTTTTATGACATACTATACTATGACTTTTTGTGACGGACTATACAATAACTTTTTGTGATGTACTATACTATGCCTTTTTTATGACATATTATACTGTTACTTTTTTATGACGTACTATACGATGACTTTTTGTGACATAGTATACAATGACTTTTTGTGACGTACTATACGATGACTTTTTGTGTCGTACTATTCGCTGACCTTTTTTTGACATACTATACTATGACCTTTTTTTGCCATATTATACTATGACTTTTTATGACATACTATACTATGACTTTTTGTGACGGACTATACAATAACTTTTTGTGATGTACTATACTATGCCTTTTTTATGACATATTATACTGTTACTTTTTTATGACGTACTATACGATGACTTTTTGTGACATAGTATACAATGACTTTTTGTGACGTACTATACGATGACTTTTTGTGTCGTACTATTCGCTGACCTTTTTTTGACATACTATACTATGACCTTTTTTTGCCATATTATACTATGACTTTTTATGACATACTATACTATGACTTTTTGTGACGGACTATACAATAACTTTTTGTGATGTACTATACTATGCCTTTTTTATGACATATTATACTGTTACTTTTTTATGACGTACTATACGATGACTTTTTGTGACATAGTATACAATGACTTTTTGTGACGTACTATACGATGACTTTTTGTGTCGTACTATTCGCTGACCTNGTCAAAAATCATGAAAAAACGTCATAGTATAGTATGTCGTCAACCATCATGAAAGAACCGTCATAGTATAGTATGTCATCAAAAATAATTACAGATGGTCATCGTATAGTATGTTGTCCAAAATCATGACAGATGGTCATAGTATAGTATGTCGTCAAGAATCATGAAAAAACGTCATAGTATAGTATGTCGTCAACCATCATGAAAGAACCGTCATAGTATAGTATGTCATCAAAAATAATTACAGATGGTCATCGTATAGTATGTCGTCCAAAATCATGAAAGATGGTCATAGTATAGTATGTCATCAAAAATAATCAGAGATGGTCATCGTATAGTTTGTCCACCAATATCATGAAAAAAACGTTATAGTATAGTATGTCGTTCAAAATCATGAAAAAAACGTAATAGCATAGTGTGTTGTAAAAAATCATTAAAGATGGTCATAGTACAGTATGTCATCAAGAATCATAAAAAAACGTTATAGTATATGACGTTGTCAAAAATCATGATAGATGGTAATAGTATAGTACGTCATCAAAAATCATGAAAAACCATTATATATAGTATGTCGTCAAAAATAATTAGAGATGGTCATAGTATCGTATTTCGTCAAAAATCACGATGAAACGTCATAGTATAGTATGTCGTTCAAAATCATGAAAAAAATGTCATAGTATAGTGTGTCGTCAAATATCATTAAAAAAACGTGTCAAAAATCATGAAAAAACATCATAGTATAGTATGTCGTCCAAAATCATTAAAGAACCGTTATAGTATAGTATGTCATCTAAAACAATTAGAGATGGTCATCCTATAGTATGTCGTCCAAAATCATGAAAGATGGTCATAGTATAGTATGTCGTCAAGAATCATGAAAAAACGTCATAGTACAGTATGTCGTTCAAAATGAATGAATGAACCATCATAGTATAGTATGTCATCAAAAATAGAGATGGTCATCGTATAGTATGTCGTCCAAAATCATGAAAGATGGTCATAGTATGTCATCAAGAATCATGAAAAAACGTCATAGTATAGTATGTCGTGAAAAATCATGAAAGATGGTCATAGTATAGTATGTCGTTCAAAATCATGAAAAAACATCATATATAGTATGTCATCAAAAATAATTAGAGATTGTCATAGTATCGTATGTTGTCAAAAATCATGACGAAACATCATAGTATTTTGTCATCAAAAATCGTGAAATTTGTTTATAGTATAGTATGTCGTCCAAAATCATGAATAAAAAGTCGCGTATGTCTTCATAAATCACAAAAATAGTCATACTACAGTATGCCATGAAAAGTCATAGAATATTATGTCAAAAAAGTCATAGTATAATATGTCGAAAAAAGTCTAGTATAGTATGTCATCAAAAAAGTAACATTATAGCAAAAAAGATCATGGGATAGTATGTCATTTTAAAAGTTATAGTACAGTATGTGTTAAACTGAAAAAAGTCTAAGTATAGTGTGTCATCAAAAAAAAAAAGAAGAAACACAATAAAAAGTTTAATTAGGCATTAGATTTTTTAAAAAAGTCTTACAAAGTAATAGTATAGTATGTAATGTATTAAAAAGTCATAGTATGTGATAAAAAAAAGCCATAGTACAGTTTGCGATAAAGAAGTCATCGTGTAGTATATCATTTAACAAGTCATGTATTTGGCGAATGCAGTGACCAAGTATAAAGACCAATTCAAGCAAATGGGATAAGATTTGTAGAGTTTACCTACAAACAGCATCAGGCACATGGTTTCAACATTTTTTACTTTCTCTAAAACACGACAGGACACATTGTGAAATTTTCACATTTTATTAAAACTGAAAAACGAAAAAGTAAAACCAAAATACAGGACCAAGCACAATGTCAAGCGAATTTCAAAATATATGAACATTTAACAGTGTTGAGTCCAACAGTCCATGTGCAAGATGATGGTGTGTATTGTCTGGTGTGTGTTTACATCTTAGCTTCCTTTTTGACTTTGAGGAACTCCGCCATGTTAGAGAAGTATTTCTGGTTAGCTTCAGCCACCTTCTTCTCCGCAGCCTGTGGGTTGACAATCTCCAGCCCCTGCAGACAAGAGCACAATGGTTAGTTAACTGAAATAAGCCTGTACAGTGTTCAGGGGATGGTCAATTAGAGAGAGTGTTGAGCTCTTTTTACCTGAAGAGGTGTAAATGCTACACTGGAGCTGGTTCCTGAGGAGCGGTCTCTGACTGTAGACTTTCCTCCGTATGTCATGCTCTGCTTCTGCAACGTCCTCTGTTGTGTGCAGCAAAATAAATACAGACACTTAAGGACTGAAAACAAAATAATAAATAGGTCATTGTTAAAGTGAGAATGAGCTACCAATAAGATTACCTGGAGGGATTTGGAGATTCTGGCTTTGGTGGCCTCGTTCACTTGAGCCTGCCTGACGCGCCCGCTGCCGCTCTTCCCCAGCTGACCCAGACTGAAGCCCAGATCCTCCTGATATGCATCATCTTCAATCTGCAAGTAAAGTCGTGAAAAATATGAGAACCGCTGATGTAGCACATTACAATAAATGTCATACTATAGTATGTCATAAACGTGTCATAAAATTAACCCAAAAGTCATGGTATAGTATGTCAAGAAAGAGTCAGTATACTATGTCAAAGAAAAGTCACAGTATAGTATGTCATAAAGTCATAGTATAGTATGTCATAAAAAGGTCAGTATACTATGTCATAGAAAAGTCATAGTATAGTATGTCATAAAGTCATAGTATAGTATGTCA